TGTAAGGTTACGACACGCAAATGCGTGTCGTCTTCCTTTATGACATGGCCTTCCTTGGCATGCATTTGCGTGTCATCTGTACCCTTTTATGACACGCAATGTGTGTCATTAAAAAGTATATTTCTAGTAGTGTAAGCATAAACAAGTCTTAATAGGCATTACAACATCTTATTATACTATGGCCTAACAACTCCTCAAATCACTCATCAACCTTGTTCCTTCGTACCACTACCTGTGATACAAAGAAACTGAGTGGGTTAGGCTTGGGTCCTGGTGGTCACATAGGGTTTTCAACCCACGATAATTAAGTTCTTTAATTATATATTTCACATCAAATAATTTATCCAATTACTCATTCTCGTTATTCTCACATACTGACCCAAAAATATTGGTCTCAAGGGACCTATCCTAAGGATCATCATCAACAACGGTAAACAATACTGTTTGGGGGATTCCTATAGCAACATACGTCAATAAGGAAACCATGAGGGAGATAAAGTATATCAAATGAACAAATAGTTCATTAACACCTACAAGTTGTGAGTCTGCCAGCCTTTCCACTGGACTGTCTAGAATAGTCTGTGGTCGTCATCTATACTCTGTTATATGACTGGTTCATCAATAGTCAAGTCCTCTCGTCATCATCTCAACCTTTTCATTACCCATCACTACCCAATATATTTTATATATGAAAATACTTATATGATTACATCAAGTAAAAATCATATAATTCAATTAACACAAATATCAAGTAATACATATAATAGTCACACATAGCATTTAATCATCCATATATTTTATATCTATGTGTAAGCTGAAAGTAACTATGCATTCACTTGTAAAAGTGAATGACTGGAAAGTAGGGCAACACTTTGCTTCAACACTTAGCCTTTCCTTTGATGTGACCTAGGTTTAATTATCACTAAGTATTTGTTTATTATTTCTTATGACTAATTATTGTCTAGATTCATCAACAATCCCAAAATATACATCAAGATCTATCAAGTAAGGAACAACCAGGTAAGATTATATCGAAGGTAGGGTCCATTTGGTATACATAGTATACTGTTTGGAAATACCACTTTAAACACCTTACTAAATCTATCCTAGACATCATCCCCATAAGTAGATCAATTGGAATAACAACTTGGAATCACTGATAAATCTTATTAAATTCATAACAACGACTATAAATATAAATATAAGTTACACTGAAAGCAATATCAGTGCAACATAACTTACAAATATTTTCCTGACAAAAGTCCGAAAATTGTACTTGCAGAACTCCGACCTGATAACTACTGATTTCGGACACTCAGGGACCTCAGAGCTAGCCAAAATATCCTAAATACTAAAGAGATTTCTGACCAAAATGGAGAGAAATCGAGAGAGAAAGCAATGGGAGGTATGGGGTATCAAATGGGAAAATGAGGGTATTTATAGGCTGAAAATCACCAAAGCGTGATGTGCCTAGACCATGTGCTCGCCGCGCCCTGGCTCTGGCATCCGCTGAGGTGCTGACACGTGTTCAACTCTACGTGGTGCGACATGGCTGCTTCTAGAAGGTGCGCATCGCGCGTTTTTGCGCGTGACACACTCGGGAAACTTCAAAATCCGTAACTTCTTCATACGAACTCTGTTTTTTACGTTCTTTATATCCACACGTAGCTATCGACGATATCTACAACTTTCATTTAGACTCCGTCGGCTAATTCTGAATTTGTTTTTATTTATTGTTTTAGAAATCTTGGAGTACTAAACTCCGTTTAAAATTCATATTTTTTTCATACGACATCCATTATCGACTCTCTTTATATTGACGAACTCCAATTAACAAGATATTAGACTCTCTTTTAGATTGTTTTGGCTAAAAATCAACTGATCTAAAATTCGATTTCTGTGTCCACACTGTTGCGCTGAAACTTTAAAAAATCATAACTTCCTCATATGAAGTCAAATTTGGACGTTCTTTTATATGCACACTCTCATTTTTACGATCACTATAACTTTCATTTAGATCACTTAGGATAATGAGCAACCTATCTCCGATTCACTATTTACGACACACTCAGCCGTATCGGTTTAAACACGAAACTTCAAATGATCATAACTTCTCCATACGAAGTCAGATTTAAGTGTTCCTTATATCCCCGAAATCCTCATCACAACTACTTCAACTTTCATCAAGTCTATCTATCCTAATTATTATTTTATTTTAATATTTGTTTTAGCCCTATTTATTAAGTTTCCATCAATTATTATATACACATAAATCACATAGATTCAAACAATTTCATTTTATTTATTCATCAAATTATTACAATCCTATCGACAAGTACTACAACTTTCATTTAGACTTCGTTAGTTAATTCTCATTCTATCTCAATTTACAAATTTGTATCGAATTCGTCGCATCTAAAGAGTAGGGACCAAGTTCTGTCTATATCTTTCGCATACGAGCACCGTTTTCAACGTTCTTTATCTGGCTTCGTATCGAAGAGTACTACAATTTTCATTTAGACTCCATCGACTAATTCTCAGTCTATCTTAAATTTACAAATATGTATCGAATTCACCGCGTCTGAAGAGTAGGGACCAAGTTTCGTCCATATCTTTCGCATACGAGCTTCATTCTCGATGTTCTCTATATGGACGGATTCGTATTTTTAGAGACATCAACTTTCGTTTAGATAGTTTTGTCTAACGAGCGACCGATTTATATTTCGTACTCTGTGACACATATTATTGTACCGTGTCATTACGAAAAATTATAACTTCCTCATACGAAGTCAGATTTAGGTGTTCTTGTTATGAATGATCTCGTATTCGCAAGGACTTCGACTTTCCGTTACATTACTTTGGCTAAAAAGCAACCTATCTCCGGTTTAATTTTTATGGCACACATTTTCGTATTGGGTTGAACGTGAAACTTAGATAAATCATAACTTCCTCATACGAAGTCAGATTTGAGCGTTCTTTATACCCACATAATCGTCATCACTACTGCTACGACTTTCGTTAAGACTATAATAATGTTTTGTACATATACTATAAGGTCATAATATTTGTCCATAAAACATGTACGTAATATATAAATATCATTTATATAACTCGTATCACGTACGAAGAATTTTTATTTATTTACGATTATCATATTCGAGGATTTAATTGTTCGTTAAACACAATTTTTTTATAATTTAAAATCTTTAAAATATCTAATTCGAATTCGTGAGCGTTACATTCGATCACTTGCATAGGACTAAACATGCATAGGGTTCAGATAGTCTTAGTACTTGTCAAAAAGACGCACCATGTGTAAATGTGAGTACGACTATAAAGATGTCATGACATGAAAAGTAGCACTATTTTTGAAATATGTTGGTTGTCACCATATGTTAGTGATATAATAGTTGCATGAGTTTGTATAAGTTACAAATTTGACTTAAAAATTGTGTATGAGTTACACAATTGGCTTAAGATTGTGTAGTAAGAATTTAAACGAAATGAATTAATTTATTGTTTATTGAAGTATCAATAAATAATTAGAAATTATCAAATGGTTTCTAGTCCAACAGTAGCTCGGTGTTGATTTTCCTTTTTAAGGTTAAGGGTTCAAGTCCCATTGTGGACATAAGTGAAATTAATGAGAAGTTTAGAAGTAGATTAGATTTGTTATTTAAAAAAAATTAGAGATTAATAAATTGATTTATTATTTAAAATGTTAATAAATATTTTATTATTCAATAAGTGAGATTAATTAATTATACTAGAAAATTATATTAATTATTTATAATTAATGGATAATTTTATAAAATAATTATATAAATTATATAATTAATAGATAATTCTTAAATTCAAATAAGGTATGTTTTAAATTCAAATAAGGAATCTTTTGAATTTCATCTCCTATATAAAGAGGTAGAGGTAGGGTTAAAGAAAATCATAAACCTTTCGAGCCCTAAAAATGGTTAGGGTTTCAAATAGAAGGATTCTTGTTTGCTAAGAGGTAAAATGTTCATGTTCTACTTTGAACCCTAGTCAGTATTTATCAAAATCGAAAGGTAATTTTTTTTCTTGTAAGTTAAGTTTTGTTGTTAAAAATACAAAAACAATGATAATCGGCTTATCATAGTGTTTTGTTAACTTGCTTAAGCCGTTTGTTTTGGTTTTTGATAAATAAAAAATCACACTATATTTAATATATACTATATATATATATTTTTAATTTGGTAGAATAAATACAAAAAGCCGCCGACTTTCAAAACTTGCAACACACACACTCTCCCTCTCCCTCTCCCTCTCCCTTTTCACCCGTATCTCCTCCTCGAAATATAAGCTTTTGCTCTTCTGCTTCCCCCAAACCCTAGTAAGAATTTTGGCTGATTTCCTTAGTTTTTAAGTGATTTGTGTATGTTCGTTTCAAGTATCTTTGTAGTCTTGCCGAATTTTCATGGATTTCTTGTTTAATATTTTGCATTGTTCATGTACCCATTTGATGAATAGTAGAATACACCTTTTAAAAACTTGGGTTTTCATGTTCAGATAGATACTCAACAATGGCTTGTGGTCACAGTTTTGCTCCATTGTTGCGTGCATCGGAATCCGTACTCTGATGGACGCCAGAAAAAACTTAAAGTCCCTTTAATTTTGTGTATAATTCCACTCGTTCTTGCTTAATTAGAGATTTTACTAGCATTTATGATGAGTGTAATTGCGTAAAGCGTATTTAAGATTTAAAATAATTAGTCTATCTATGAGAGCCAGCGGTTACATCTTCGTATAATGATTACCAAACGGCTGTTTTGATTAATTCTGCCCTCTTAATCGTGTTTTAGGTTGTTAGTATATGGACAGTTGCAGACATAGGATTTCTTCTTCTTTGTTTGAAGTTTAAACGCAATCTTTTTCTAAAAATATCAATTACTTATTACAGAATCTTCTTTCCGTTCATTTTTTTTTTTTTTATGAACTTAGCCTCAAACTGAAGCTTCAACCTAAAAATGGCGTTCCCGGAGAAGATACCTCAGCCTGTCATATCCACAAAACGGTCGTTGGGTGATTCTGATGACTGTAAACTTGACGAATTCAGAAAACCTAAAATGGTGATGCGGAAGTATCCCCCTCATAAGATCAGAGGAGCAGAAGCAGTCCGTGATTTCCCTCCTGGTTGTGGAATCTTACAGGATTCTCTTGCGAGTAATGTAGAGAAGAAGCCATTGAAGAAATTAGACAATGTTGAGTCAGATATCGAGAACGTGACCTCCCATGGCAAGGATAAGATGGTGAACTCTAAGCCTTTTGAAGATAATAAACTCAATAGATGCATTAAACCTTTAGGATTAGGGTTCAAGAAACCTTCTTTTGGCACAAGGCCATTTGATAAAGTGAAATTTTTGAATCCCATGGAACAACATCCTGTTTGTGGAATCATACAAGAAAGGAAGCCTTTCAAGAAATTAGACAATGTTGACTCAAAGTCAATGGAATGTTGTCATCCTTTGGAGAGTACCAAACCCAAAGAATCAGGGATCAACAACAAACTTTTTGGCTCAAGGCCAACTGGTAAAGTCAAATATTGGGATCCTAGGATCCCATCTACAAATGACAATAATGCCCCAAAATCAAACACCATCGGATCACAAAATGAACAAATTAGACGTGAGAAGCTCCGTGAGACGATGATCTTGTTTGAAACAATTTACACTCAGTTATTTCAAGATAACGAATCAAAACAAAAGGGAGAAAAGAGAGCTAATTGGATACTACCCATGGAGGCTGCAAAGATACTCAAACAAAAGCTAAAATGGATGAATGCTGACAAGACATTAGGTCAAATCTGTGGTGTCCAACCTGGCGACATGTTCAGATTTAGGCGGCAGCTTCATATAGTAGGTCTTCATTGTCAACCACATTGTGGTATAGATTACACCAACATTAATGGGAAGAATCTTGCTATAAGTATAGTTGATTCTCATCGTTACTCAAACGAAAGTCAATCTTGTGATGTGCTTACTTATTGTGGTGAAGGTGGTGGCGGGGTCGGGTGCTTTGGGTCTAGTCGCCAGGTGGTGCCTGATGATCAAAAACTTGAAAGGGGTAATCTTGCTTTGAAGAATAGTATGATTGAGAAAAATCCTGTTAGGGTGATTAGGAAAGTTTTTGGAGTTGGAAAGAACAATAATTTGTTTGTGTATGATGGATTTTACACGGTGGAGCATTGTACGCAAAAAAGAAGTTCAGAAGGGACGATGGTGTTCAGGTTTCAACTACATAAAATTCCCGGTCAACCTCATTTTCACCAATGGGTCAATGCTATACCAGGTAATTTCGTTTTATACCGTTATACCACCTTTCAAATGCTTTAGTGATTAACTATATATAGTTAGTTATATGTCGTTTTTTGAACTATTGTTAGTATTTTATATTTGTTGTTGAGAGACTCTTAGACGCAATTTTAACCTAATTTCGGCTTAGTGTTTTTCTTCGCTTTCTTTGAATCTATGTACAACTTGGTTGAATTATATTTCCTTTTTAAGCAAGGCTTTTAGGATCTTATTTAAATTATTAAGTTGTAGATACTTATTCACCAGCCGCTAGACAGATCAAGCATGGGTAAATTCACCTTAAATTTTCATCGTGGGCCAAGTTTTCGTCAGAGTTCTTGGGTTTGGTCTTATTGGCATTTTAGGTCAACTAACTAGTATTTATATCTATTTGAATTTGTGTAACCTAAGGGTGAGCATCCGATCCGGTAGACTGGACCCGGACTGGTATCGGTTTTAGGTTGCTAGGTCGGTTATCGGTTCTTGGTCTTACACCATATCGAATCCATTATTTTTACTTATTTCGGTTTTTGGACCGAATTTTAAGAGGCATAATCTTTTTCAAATCTTTTATCCTAATCTATGTGATATTGTTTTCATCGGTTCTCCCCTCCAATTTTGTCTCTAAGACAAGGTATCAAAGCTGAAAGGTTTTCAACTTTTCTGCATATTGTGTAATCTGTTAAGTTTTTTAAAATGTCATAACTCATTCGTTTTAAGTTGGATTGTCATGATATTTTTCTCACATGTAGTTTAGTGTTTGTATTAGAGGTGATCATTTGGACCGAACCGGACCGATTTGATAGAAATTTGTGGACCTTGGACGGGACTAGTTGTGGCTTTATCGGGTCCAAGTCCGAATTTTCTGGTTCTTGTACCCGTTGGATTGGTTCAACTTTAGGTGCATACAATACAACTTGTTGAAGTCCTATCGAAAGTTAGTTTATCTATTACGAGGCTTAAAACAAATACAAAACCAAAAACAACAAAATTATAGTCCAAAAAAATAGTTGAAAAGTTACAGCTTTGATATCCAGGGACTGTAAGTCATTAAATATAAAACAAAAAATGATAAAATTATAGTTTAAAATCATGTGCAAACTCTAAACTACACGCTAGAAAAAAAAAACGGTATGCTAATCCAACTTCAAACGAATAGATATGCATGTTTTAAAATTTTTATAGAATACAAAAGTCTAAAAAAAAGTTCCAGCTTTGATATCCGGGGACTGTAAGTCATTAAATATAAAACAAAAAATGATAAAATTATAGTTTAAAATCATGTGCAAACTTTAAACTACACGTTAGAAAAAAAAATTTGTATGCTAATCCAACTTCAAACGAATAGATATGCATGTTTTACAATTTTTACAGAATACAAAAGTCTAAAAAAATAACCGATAAGCTGAAAATTTCCAGCTTTGATATTCCAACTTCACGGGACTGTAAGTCATTGAATATATATACAAAAACGACAAAATTATAATCTAAAATCATGTACAAACTCTAAACTATATGTTGGAAAAAAACTCGTATGTTAATCTGACTTCAAACGAATGAGATATGTAGAAAAGGTTTGCTAAAGATTTGTTTTTTTTTATAAAATCCGGTCAAAATTGGTTTTTTACCCGGAACCGGTTTTGTATCGGATTCGATTTTGCATGATTACCAAGAACCAACCTTATTCTAAAAAATCAGTCCAGGTCTAGAAGTTCAAATGTTCACCCCTAGTTTGTACATCCTTTGAAGCTGCAATTTCACTTTTTTTGGTTGTATATTCATTGAGTTGAAGTTCCCCGCTTTTCTACATATTGTGCAATATGTGAAGATCTTTAAAATGTCTTTAACTCATTACTTTTAAGTCAGATCGACATGATATCGTTTCCAACATGTAGTTAAACATTTGTACTTCGTTTTAGGTTTTAATTTCACATTTTTTGGTTGCATATTCATTGGGTTACAATCCTCTGAACACGGGATATCAAAGCTGAACACGGGATATCAAAGCTGAAAGGTTTTCAACTTTTCAGCATATTGTGTAATCTGTGAAATTCTTTAAAATGTCATAACTCATACGTTTTAAGTCAGATTGATATGATATCTTTTCCAACATGTAGTGTTAGTGCTTTTACTTCATTTTATGATGTAATTTCACCTTTTTGGTTACATATTCAATGGGTTTTTTTAGTTTTTTTTTTTTTGAACGGAAAATCTAACATTTGTCCTAATTTCCTTCTAATTCCACATATGTCCGAGACGTGATTTGAACTCTCGACCTTAAGGAGGGATGAAAACATCTAACACGGTTGGTCTATAAGTCGTTTGGTTACATATTCATTGAGTTATAGTCCCATAAAGACGGGGTATCAATAACTCATCTAAACCATTAAATAGTATTTGTTTCATCGACTTGTACCATACGCATCGCATGTGGTATCGGTCCAAAAACCTAAAAACTAGCATCGACAACGTTATACACCTAATCGGTCTATTGAATTCTCCCAAACCGGTTTCGGTCCGGGCCAATACTGTCTAAATGCTCACCCCTATTGTAACCTAATGTATGAAAAAGTTCATTCGACAAAAGCAATAAAAATTTGTCGCTCGTGTTCTCTTGTGGACGTAGTTGATATGTGGACGTAGTTGATCGTATGAACCACATAAATCGACTCTCTTTGCTTTTATTTTGCATTGTTACTTTGTGTGAAATCATCTATCATTTGATGAAGTCGTTAACTAACATAAATGTATTCCTTACCTTTCAATTCGGGTTTTTGATTCATACACAACTTTTCTCCATACACAACAATTTATGTTTTATATAGTTATACAATACAACATTTTAAAGCACAGATTGTTGTGTATGGAAAAAACTGTTGTGTACGAATCAACTCCAATTTTTTAATAGTTTGAACAATTAGTCTTGGCAACTATATATTGTTGTTTTGTTTACTTAATTTGGAGTTTATGATTTATTAGGTTAAAGAATGTGGAGTAGATTTTTTTTTAATATAAAAACAAAATGGCCATTTAGTCTCTTTCACACTAGTTTAAAAAATAAATGTAAAAGAAAGAAATATCATATATACAACACTTTACTCATACCATCATCATTACCCATGTTACCCATATTATAGAGGGAAAAAACTAACTACTTAAAGTCTTGAACCTTAAAGCAAGCATAAATATCATACATACCAATCTTTTATATTATTTTATTCGGTTAAAATATAAAATTAATGTACCTGTCACAACACACGCACCATCACTACTAGTTAAAACTTAAAGCAAGCATAAAGATGGTTAACTCGTTAGCCTGTCTTACCTTTTGACTTCAACTCTGCTAGTTTTTGTTTTTGAAAAAGAAAAAAAGAAAAACAAAACTATCAGAGGAAATGTTTCAAATCATTGCTCTTTAAAGGAGTTTGTAAAATTTTCAATGATCATGGTATGTTTTTAACCAATTGTACAAGACCAATTTATACAAACAAAAATAAAATGATAAAAAAAAATATTAATAAGTTACATAAATAAGCAAACTGAAAAAACCATAATATAATAAATATAATAGAGATAGAATAAGTTTTTTAATGATTTTTTTTTTCTTCACAAAATGCCCTCTCTAATGTGAACGTGTGTAAAATGCCTCTTTCACGACCCTAGCTTCATGTCAACTCTAAGTGAAGCTTATGGCTTCATCTAGTTCGAGTTTTGGCTTCATCTAGTTCAAAGTTTGGTCTTAACAACCTTGAACATATATGAAATTTCTAATCAGACATGCACATCATCGGTCTTGGAAAAATCACCTCTTTTCAAAGTAGTCTCAGACCGTCTTTCTTTTAGTAACAACCTTTGTCTTTTTCGGCTTGGCCTTGTAATCTTTGCGTATGCCTTTTCGGTTTGGTTTAGATTTTTTTTTTCTTTTTCGTTTTTTCCATTAATAAATGTATGATTTACCAAAAATGATACATGAAATTTTAATAAAAGAAAAAAGAGAAATTGGATAATATGTGATCAACACAAAAATAATAAGTATATAACCTTTAGCTTCCGATCTTTGGTGAACCTAGTTTTGGGTTGGATTCGAAAGAGTTCGGTCTTCTAACTCATTCCAGTCTCGATCTTTTATCGGGAGCAGTCTTTTTGTTCATTTCTATTTTCAATACCCATCCCATCGTTTGGATCAATCCTTTGGTGGGTACAATACCGATAATTACCCAGGCCCCAAAACTTTAAGGGGCAGTATTATTTTTTCATACCTCATATATATACAAATTTTCTTGTTATAAATTGAGAACCCCATAAAAATAAACAAAGTATGTGTTTATTTAGTACCATAACTTAGTCTATCACTTGAAATATCGAGGCATATTTCATGTTATTGTTACATCTATGAATGGAACTTGGTCAAAGTTGAAGGTGACAAGAAAAACTTGAGATTATAACTATCACAATAAACTTTAGAGTGAAAGAATTACTTGAGGTTACTAATCTCACTGCCCACTCGGAACTTGGTCAAAGTTGAAGGTGACGCATCATAACCTTCACTGCCCACTCTGGTATCCTCTACATACGTCCCAAACTACCAAAGTTACATTGGATATGTAACTTGCTACAACCAAAAATTTCGCTCTTTATCTAATTTACATCTCAGAATTTTGTTAATTCAACATCCATAGACCATAATAGTAAACAAAAGTGTAGAATAGTATTGTTTATGTTTATTTTCATCCATGATCCATCACTACACATAAATAACTTGTTCTAGGACACCCAAAATCATTCAAACTTCAAGACACGTATCAACAATCATTGTACATTCATTATAAGCAAGAGGGAGGACTGTGATAATAAAATTTACCATGTTCCAAAAAGACACAGAGATTAGCCATAGCAACGGATAGGGTCATTGCAACCTTTCTCAGTAGATTGCTTAAACCCAAATCGACCTCCCTTTGCAAGATACTGCTGATGATACTCTTCTGCCCTGTAGAACTTCTTTGCAGGCAAGATCTCTGTCACAACTGTTCTGTTCAGTTTCT